CTTTCTCAGCTAAAATGATTTATTAGAGAAGCATCTCTGCTTCTGCTGTGTGTGGGGTTTTTTTAAGTGTTGAAAAGCATTTGTGCCCATCTATGTTGGAGCAGGAGTTTGTGGCCAGGCAAGGGGGAAGAGCTCTGCGGATGTGTCGCTCCCTGCCCCTCTGGAGATCTCCCCCACGCCATTCAACCTTTGTGTCTCACCTCTTGGGAGTCCGAAGAGCAACTTCATAGAATGCTTTGGGTTAGAAGGGACCTTTAAAGGACATCTAGCCCAACCCCCCTGCAGTGAGCAGGGACATCTTCAATCACATCAGGTTGCTCAGAGCCCCGTCCAACCTGGCCTTGAACATTTCCAGGGATGGGGCCTCCACTACTTCTCTGGGCAACCCATTCCAGTGTTTCGCTACCCTCATTTTAAAGAATTTCTTCCTTGCTGCAAGTTGTAGCAAAACCCTGACTGTTTTATCTTCCTTCCACACTGGAGCTGGGTAGGGCTTCTTCTGCACCACCTTCTTCTGTCCTTCAGCCTGCTTGGGCTCCTGGAAACAGAAGAAGCAAGGGGCTCTTTGGCTCTTAACCTCTCTCGCTTCTGGCTGCATCAGGAAGGTGCAGCAATCCAGTGCAAGAGGGAATAGGAAGGGAGGAATGCAGAAAGTGGGTCTCTTCCGAACGTGGAGCAGGCAAGGTCCCAAAAACCACTGGCAAGGGAAGAAGGAAACCCACGTTAGTGCTGGCCATGAGGGCGGTGGGATTTGACACCTACCAAAAGGCTGCGTGCATCAGGGCGCAGAGATCTGTGCTGTGGGTCCCCGACAGGGTCGTGATCTTGCCAGCGTGCTTTGGAAGGGCCAATATGTGTCTCTGATAAAATGATGTTGTTCAACTGGATAGTTGGAGAACTCCTCGAAGAATTCCTATGTAAAAAAAACCAGCAGTGCATTAAAAGCCTGCGAAACAACGTTGCGTGCTCAGCTGAGAAATACCTGAATGTTTGAAACTTTTAATTCCTACCGCTGCGTGTTTGCCTTGTGGTGCAATTTTCATTGTGTCATTGCATGCAGGGTATCTGTACGCTGTAGCAAGGCTACATGTGCATACAAAAATTGTATTACAAGCTGCCTTTAGGTCTGCAATAAAGATCTTACCCTTCCTGCTGCTTTAAAAACAGTTTGCTTCAAAGGCTGTAGTATTTGCTTTGTCCTTTAGCCTTTATGGGGTGAGAGAAGAGGCTGGCTGCACCTTAGATGTGTTGGTTGTCTCTAGCAGTGTCTTTCCCCAGGATGAAGAGGTCAGTACAGCGAACAGTGAGGGAGTGTTGGCCTCTGTTGTTCCTCTCCCCGTTCATTTCGAATGTGCTAGCTTTCCCCGTCCTCCCCTTTAAATCACATTATTTCATAAAGAGTAAAAAGAAACATAATTTGGAGCAGCAGCGAGCTGAGCCCAAGTTAATAGTTTGAATTGCACTCCATCTGTTCAGCTGCGTGGCCTGATGGATGTGCTGAACCCATTTTTCACAATTTGTTTTAAGCTGGTAAGAACCATCTCTCCTGGCTCCCGTCCAGGCTGGCTGTGGAGAAAAAACTTCCTATCTGGACATCCATGTCCAGAGGGTGGGATTGAGTCAGTAATCCCCAGATGCCAGGCTACCTTTTCAGCCTGCCAGTGGCTAGTTTTCGAAAGATGAAATTCTTCTCTGGACTTGAACATTGTTGTCAAAAATTTGGGGGTGGGGGGGAAACCCCCAACGAGCACACACACACGGAGGATGAAATTTGCAAACGTGATTATGCAGGACCCGCTTCAAATCGGCTTATTGCTATTTTATGATGGCAAGCGAGCAGTCACAGAAGCCAGGGTGATTGGCCTCGCCATGTGCACATGCTGCTGGTAACTCAATAACCGATGAACACCCACCGTGGTCTCCAGACCTCGAGCCTTTGATGTAGCAACAAACAAGATAGATTGCTGTAATTTATCTGGCCCCTGGAGGGCTGTGCTGGTAATGTGCCATGAGCTCAAGGGCCAGCCATCCATAATCTATGTAAAAATACAGCAGATCGCAGTCGCCGTGCGGCGGGGTTGTCTTTGTTCCGTGCTGCAAGAGTTTGCATGTGTGCAGTGCACAGCCCTGGGTCTCAATTTCCAGCAGCCAGGGGCGATAAGTCTTAGCGTAATATGCCCACTCCCTCCATTAACTTTAATTGGTTTTGTTATGTACTAAATATACTCCTTTCAAATAGGCTTGGGAAGGCAGTGCTGGAAACGTGGTATTTCCCCGTATGCCTTTGCAAGCATAGCAGAGAGACTGGAGGAGGCAAGCTGGGTTTGGGAGAAAAAGAATGGGATTTTGTACCAGCCGAAGCCTCCGGCTGGGTTTGCTGATGGAGGACAAGAGTTTGCAGCATTGCTGTTGGGTGGCCCGGAAACCCAAGGGGAGGGTGCGTAGCCTCCTGGCTTGCACATGGGCCTCTCTCCTGGAAGACGGTCCTGGTTGGGCTGTGCCGGGAGGAGAGGGAGTTGCTGCCGAACTGGGGAGCCCCACCAGCAGCACCGGGGCGCTGCAGAGTGGCTGCGTGCTACCTCCTGGTGCCCTCTACAGCAACCTGTGCCTGGGATCTTGGGATGATGGGGTTGGAAAACAAGAGTAGTACTGAAAACAAAGCCTTGTCGGCTTGAGTTCCTGGTTCGTCACTGTGTGGTACAGTACCTTTTTGTGCCTGGATTCTTATCGCTACCAAAGAAAGGTTTTATGTTATCTCAACACCACTTTTTTCACGGGGCGTTTTAAAAAAAAAAAACAAAACCCACACTTCTCTTGGGTCAGCAAGAAAGCTGCAGCATGGCTGGGGAGGGGGGTGTTGTGCCAGAGCCCAGTGTGCCAGTTGTAAAATGGGGTGCGAGGGCTTGCCTGGCCGAGTGCGGCTGCAGAAGGGGTAGGACTGGTATGGCTGGGGGGGAAGTGTGGGGACTGCCTGCCGAGAAGTAACGCTGGGCTCCTCTCCTCCTGCAGGCATGGCCTTGGCCCAGCGGCAAGTGGTGGTGCAGGAAGGGCCCCTCTACCGCACAGAGGGGTCCCACGTCACGCTGTGGTGCAAGGTGAGCGGCTACCAGGGCCCGGCAGAGCAGAACTTCCAGTGGTCCATCTACCTGCCCTCGGCCCCGGAGCGGGAGGTGCAGATCGTCAGCACCATCGACCCCTCCTTCCCCTACGCCATCTACACCCAGCGGGTGCGCAGCCGGGGGATCTACGTGGAGCGGGTGCAGGGGGACGCCGTCCTGCTGCACATCACCGAGCTGCAGGACCGGGACGCCGGAGAGTATGAGTGCCACACGCCCAACACCGACGAGAGGTACTTTGGGAGTTACAGCGCCAAGATGAACCTCATGGGTAAGCTGTCCTGCTAACGGCATGGCTGGGGGAAAGGAGCATCTCCTGGCCAGCATGCAGCAGAAACCCATGAACGCCCCCCCCATGTGCTCCACGTAAGCCATTGGCAAAAACACCAGTGAGGAGAAAAGGAGCAGGCAGCACAGTGGTGTGAATTGCAGGAAATCATGGTACAGAGACATAGGGGGAATCAAACTTTCTCTAGTAATAAGACCCTTATAAAGAAGAGAAGCCAGGTAGCATAGCCAGAGAGAGGAATGCGTGAAGCCATGGCTGAAAGCAAGAGGGATGTGGAAATGGTTTATGGAGAGAGAGAAAGAGAGAGGGGCAGGGAGGCTGCTCCAGATGGCACAAGCTGCAGAGGAGCAGGGCTGTGCGCCAAAGGCGGCGAAATAGCAGAGCTGGGAAGAGAGGAGCGATAACAAGCGGCACATAAAGGGAACAGGAGAGATGGTCGTCTTCGGGCTCTTAATGGAGGGCAGTGCTGAACGAGTCCTGAAAGCAGCACGCTGATCAAATTGGGCTGTCTGTAGGTGAATGTGGGGGAGCTGGTGTGGTTTGGGTTTGGTTTTTTTTTGTTTGCGTTAGAAAAATCGAAAACAGGTTCTTTAAAATCTGAAGGATTTCCACAGCACCCCTCTGACTAGCTAATTTGACCTTTTCAAGCTTCAGCTTGCTTTCTGTGTCTCAAAATAGGATTGGATTTGGAGTCTCTAACTTGGATAACAGCGGTCAAATAGCTTCCATCAAACTCTCTGGCTGAAGGACTCCTAAAAGAGCTCCTCCACTGCAGAGACACCCCGCTAGCAAATTTAAGCCCACAGACAGCAGGCTTGCTTTCCTTGGGAGACATTCGCGAGCCTGCAGGTCTCTGGTTTGGAAACCACTTTGGCATTATCCAGACATGCTAGCTGGTCAGGGTGTTGCTGGTTCAGGTGGTGTTGACACAGGAAACCCGTTGTGAAAGGAGACAAGGTGTGAACTGAAGTCACGATAGCCCTCCTTTGGGCTGTGCTCCTTGCCTCCCGCTTGTGCGCGGCTCCTTCCCTTTGGAGGTGCCAGCCCAGCCACTCTCCTAGGCGAAGCCTGGGTACAGGCGCTTATTTAGTTGTCTCCTTTCCCATTTGGTGTCCATGAGCAGTCGGGAGGTAGATGCCTGAATAATCTTTTCTATTTTTTTTTCGGTAGTTCTGTTACTGGCTTCAGGTGGCCAGGTTTGCTGTTCCTTCCCCCTTTAGTTTAAACAAGTCTGAGTCAGCGCTGCCACTGTAAAGTCACCTCAGGGAGTGAAACCTATTGAAAACCAACACCTGGTTGAAAAAAAAAAGAAGTGCCTGGGGCCAGGGTGGGGTTGCAGGTAGTCAAGGTTTGCAGCTGGGTCCCTCTGCCAGGGAGCTGCACCGCGTGGAAGCCAGCCCATGAGCTGGGGTCCTTGCAGCAGAGCTGTTGGAGCAAGCGTGGGCAAGGGGAGCCAGCGTGTCTGATGGCCGGGCAAGGGGGAACTCCTCCGCTGCTCTCCCTAGGGGCTGGGGGGCCAGTGCCTTCCAGGCTTTAACTGTGGCTCAGCAGCTTCTTCAGTGGCCGGCCTTGGGCTTGCTGGGTGAGATGCTTTTGCTCCGTCCCACCCTTGCCACTGGTACAAGGCACCTAAGATTTGGGACTCTGTAGAGACACCCATGAACAGGGCTTTGAGGATGTTGGCTTCAGGGCTTAGGTGTGTCCAGGATGCTCAAGAAAATTGATCTATAGTAACTTTTAGTGGATTAGTTAAATCACATTATGCCCCTTCATGGATGCTTGCGCTCAGAATTCAGGGCCCTAATTTGGTTTAGCTTAATTCATTTCTGAAAATTCACTTCAGAAGTGACTTAGGGTCACTTGCGATCTGAATGTGTGTATCTGCATAGGTGATTTCTATGGTCTAACTGAACTCTGACAGAAACTGAATTTTCCAGAGTGCCCCTTGTGATCACCTGTAGACAGCCACCCCTCACGGAGGGCCTCCGCTCTGGCTCCCGTTCACGTGAACCGGTGCTGACTTCAGCCTCATTGGACCCTGGAGTCCCGCCAGGGAAATGGGCTCCTCTGTGCAGGGCTGGGCACAGCCCACACACCCTTTTTTTTTTTTTTTTTTTTTTTTTTTTTTTAGTGACATTTCCAAGTCCTTCCTATGAGGTGGCTGTTTCTTTCAGACAAGTACGC